GAAGGGAGGGAGAAGAGGGACATAAAAATGAGCGACTTGCACCGGTAAAACTTTAACACGTAATCCGTGCGACGCTCTTCCCCGGAATGGCTTAAAACTGTCTTCGATTCGACGCCTTGGAGAGGGCGACGCGATTGTTGGAGTAGGTCGAGGGGTGCTTGACAAATCCCCTTCGACCGGCTCTCGATATTTCGCTCTCGAGCGAACGTTTTGTAGAAAAATCAACTGCGCCGCGAGTGCGAACGTTGCTTCGTACTTTGCAAGAATTTAAATAAGATCGAAGATCGAGGAAGAAGAAGAGGGGAAGGGGCAAGAATCGAAGACAGATAGAACGTAAGGTGATTTCGAATCGACGTGGCTCAATCAAACGGTTTAAATCGGAGGATCCTCTTCTTCTTGGCTTGGAGTGTCTCTGTGTACAGTGGAGGAGTACGTTTATGTGAAGCGGATAAGTAAATTTCGTATAACTGAATTCTGTTCTTTTAATCCGTAAAAACACGTTTAATACGAAAATTTCATTCGAAGTTCTTCTTTTTTTTTCTCTTTTTCTTTTTTTTCAATCAATATAAAATCGTCAATTGTTTTTTCGTTATTTTATAATATAATTCGACGCATCATCTAACTGTCATTTCTACGAATAATTTTTAATAAATTTTTACGATTTGATTATTTATTTTACATCGATATTAAGGGATTAATTGAACTTATTATTTAAAATATTATTTTTAGAAGAATTACGATTGAAATTATTTTGTAAGAATGAAAGTATATTTTTCATATGAACGAATGAAAAAACATAAAATTTCGAAATTACGGGAGAGAATGCGTTCGTTTCGGAGTGTCAACAATATTTTAGGGAGCACAAGGATGTTTGCAGGTATTAGCCGGGGCTCAAAAAGTTGCGGATTTTTCGACACGAGCAAAATCGATATGGGGGGAGGGGGCATGATATTGCGATTCTATCGGCAAACAAGGATTACGATATATACCTGGACGTATAATCCGCGAAATAGACGATTAATAACAATCGAATATACGTTCGAAAAATGAAATACGAATCAGGAAATTCTATCGAATTCGTGAAATAGTTAAAAATGCAAAAATGCATTTTGCCAAACATTTTTTGATACAAATTATTCGTTTTCGTTGCCTATTCCAATTTTCCCTTCAAACTCATCATCATCATCCTCATTATTATAAATATTCTATTTTTAATTGTTACAATCAAGAACAAATTTGCTTAATAAATTTTCTAAATTTCCAAAATTGCCAAAAATTCCGTCAACAACGGATCCTTCCAAGTTCATCCCCCCCCCCTAATAACCATAAATCCTCAATTTCCAGAATTACCAAAGATAAATATCTTCTTCTACATAACGCTCCTCCTCCATTCCATCCCTAATTGCTCTTCGAAAAGCAAATTTCGACGGATTAAAATTTATAACAACAGTCCCCCACAGCCCGAAACTGCCTATGGTTTCCCCTCTTCAACCCATCAGTTCGACGTTCCCCCCCTCCCTCCCGATAAGCCAATTACAAATAAGTGCTTTTCCTTCTTCTCGACCCATATCTCGAAGCGAATCGAGCATGCCTACCCCTTGTTACGATTAAGGAGCGCGGGACAAAGACAAGCTTCGCGGAAATTAAAGGTAAATGGAACACGCGCGCGCATATGTATATACACACACCGATAACACACGCACACGTCGAATGTGGTACGTTGCCACGTTGACCTGAATCTCCTCTTGCCCGACCTTCTCGACGCATACTTTCCTCGCGATCGACACACACACACACACACACATATGCACAACCGTCCGTCCGAATATCGTATATCGAACCCGTTACGCCTTCAGAGAGGCGGCTCACGTGCCGCATAAAAGCGGCTCGATGACCGAACGACACACACGTCTATT